AATTGCATGTGCAAGTGTGCAGATTTTCGCCTAATTCCGTTGATGCTTTTATATTGGCTTCAATTATACGACGAGCATCTGGTTCGTCTGGCTCGTTCGGTCCAGCGCCTTCCGCATGACGACAACATTTGCGTATCCAATCAAGCTCCTTGTCACAGCTGACAAAGCGTTGGTGTAGAAAAGGAGCTGGAATTTGAGTTATGAAGCGACTCTTTTCGATGAAAATACCCTCTTCCGTATCATAGGTATTCGGCTCAAGTGTTCGTGCATTGTAGCGTGTAAGCGGTTCGTGCGGCGTAACTGCTGGGAGGCCCATGGCAAGTTCTTGTTTATATCGACGATCGGCTTTACTCAGATAATTCCAATTTGTGGTGTCGATCTTTCCTGATTTGAAGTCAGCGTTAAACGTCAGACCGTCCGGGTAGATCATTTCATTGATAACGGTCATTTCGCCATTCTCGAATTTGCCAATAAATGTGAATGAATATGGTGGTGCCATTTTAATACGGCCGACACCATGAAAGCGACCACGCCGAAAATGACCCTGATACTCACTGCCATCTGGATAAACGTAGAATCCATAACCGTCCATGCAATTCATGGGGTTATTGTATATGCCAACATAACTGCTGCCCGTACAAAATTTTATAGCTCTGTGCATTTTGATTGGTTTAAGATTGTATTTCCCTTTTTAAGGTACAAATAGTAAAAAAGAATATAAATAAAATGAAATTTTATGCTTTTGACATTTCAATGGATATGAACTTTCACCACATCAAATAATTTTGAGAGCAGAGTTGGATAAGTAATTTCTTGGCTTAACCTTTGTTTGAAACAACAAAATTATTTAATTCGACGCACGATAGAAAACCCAACTTTGCGCTTCTGCTAAAGCTGCTGCGTTGCGTTAAAAGTCAAAATTTGTGTGTTACATTGTGGACTGGCTTATAAGGAGTATTAGAGAGGTATGTGTGATAAGATTTAAAGAGTTTTGTTTTTCTATTTTTGTCGTCGTAATTAGTCACTTTGTTCTTATGTGCGGCGAGCAAATATTATTTTTATATTTATTATATTTTTTATGAAGCGGATTTGGTCAAATAAAGGTCAAAAAAAGTTTATTTCGTAGCTTTATTAAAATTTTGCATAATTTTGAGTTTACTTATCCTAATTCATAGCTTCATTATACAAAAACCAAATTTTTTTTTTTAGTTACTCACAGGTCACCCAGTGCATTGAACTGCATCACACCAGCTTTTATATTTATGTGCATACGCAGATTTAAGTGTCGCTAGTGACATGTCGACAGTGTATGCTTGTCGATAAGCGCCTAAATGTAAATTTTTTAATTGTTTTATTTTTTTTCTCATTTTATCGTTTTACCTCACAGCTTGTGTTCACACTTGAAATCTGAGATGAATTTATTGCAAATATTTGCAAGCTTGTAAATTTGTGAAACAAAAGCGCTTAATTTTACAGTCCGCAAAGATTTATTTCGACTACATTTAAAATGGATTTCGTACATATTTGCATAGGTATGTGTATTAAATTTTAAGTGTATATATTTATATTAAACAGTCGTGTAAAATTTGTTGAAAAAGGACGTAGTATGTGCGTATGTACGAACTAAGCATATCCGATTCGATATACATACATACTGCTCATTTACCTAATGGTCTCATAATAAAAATTTAATTAAGTTTGCTGAAATTACCGCTACCTCTTCTTCTGTGTTGCGTAAACTATAAAATGAAATGACCGATATGTAGAATGGGTTTTTGTTAGTGAAAAGATTTTGTAAATAGGTTAGTAAAATAAGCATAAATGATACGTTGGATTCTTCATTTTTTAATATATTTGCCAATTGTATTAGGCATACTCTTATTATCCTTACTGGTTTTTAAGTTTCTTCTACGGTTAAAAATTACGTATAATTACTAAAAAAGATATATGTACGTATCCTCGCTATCATGTCAAACTATCGAATATGAAAATGGGTACTTTTCAGGAGTGAAAAAAAATTGTTGTAAAAAATGTTGTTGTCATTAAGAAAAAGTATGGGATTCGACACCTTGTTAGAACCAGTATCCTCTGCTTGTAAGAAGACTAGAAATTCGACGACTTGTCAATTTGCGTATCATTCTAAACGCATGCGCAATGTTTCTTAAATGAAAAAGCACTTTAGCACATACGATAGTTTGATATGTAAACATTAGGCTGGGTAAATTTTGTCATTGGATCGTATTTTAATAGTAACTAGTGAACTTGCATTTAAAATAGAACTAGTATCGCGCCGTTGTCGAAATTCGACCACCTCAATTTTTCATACACTTTCACTTTGTTTGTGGCGTTTTTAAGCCCATGAGCGCCTCTTGATCGTCCACGTTACTAATATTATTATTAGGTGGAGTGATATCTTTTCAGTTAAATAATTTTATAATTCATAGACGCAGTAGGGAGGAATACATTTGCATGCGATCTCATTAGCGTATTAATATATAGAATACTAATATTTTACAGACTTCTTGTTGACCTCATGAAACAATATATTTTCACTATTATAACAGGATTTTAAGAAAACTAAATTTTCGAGCAGCCCTAATATATGTGTATGTATGTATATATGTATATGCACATATCAACTAGCAAAAGATTCGAGAACTTTGACTACCGTATGATTGCACATTACCTGGAATTTTGATGCGTCATTGAAAGGTTATTCAAGAATATTACCATGCATGGAATTCCCCACAAAAATATGTCGCATTTGTTCATCAATATAAGTATGTATGAATTCATTACACTCAATATTAATCCGGAGGCACATCACATTAATTAGACCGATTTGAAAATACAAAGTGTTGTGAAATTCGTTTAGACAAATCCAACTTTTTTTTCATATACAGTCATTTCAAAAATATGCGCATGTTACGATTTTATTTACTTATATTTTCCACTCCAAATTTTTCTTACTTATATGTCAATATATAGTTCAGTCAACAGCAAAAGCTACATGAATCGAATTCTTTAATTTCATACGGAACTCGGGGAAAATGAAATATATTTTCATCGAAATTTTTAAATTCTCAATTCGATTAGAAAATTATTGAGTATGTAGTTTTGTAGCCCATTAAATTTTAGTATAACAAATTACAAGTTTCAAGTAGCAAAAAATTATAGTTTATTTTTGAGATTTTTTTTCATACCTTCTTTCGTATAAAAAAAAATGCGCTACAAAACTGCATATTGAAAATTTTTCTAAGAAATCGTGTTGAAATTTTTTTGAAATTTTCGCCATTTTCTTCGAATTTTGTGTAAGGTTAAAAAAATTGATTTTTGGGGTTTTTTGCTGTTAAATTAACTATATTTTTATAAAAAAAAATTTAAAAAATTTGGTATGGAAAATATAAATAAAAAAAAACGTCCAGGTATGCATATTTTTGACGCTAACTGTATATTAATACCTATGTTTGCTTAGGCTTGTACTATATACGATAGACCTGCTCTTATTTGTGTAAAATTGAAAAAAAAATAATAAACAAATTTTGTTTTGTGAAGCATCACCAAAACGCAAAGCTTTCCTGGATGTTTCACAGATAGCTGGATCAGCTTGCTTCCTTTGGTGAACTATGCACGCTTAATGGTACTGGTCATCCATAAGAAGAACTCGACTGTTACAACCACTTAGCGCCAATAATCATCGAAATATCCAGCCGTCCGCTCCTTAGGTTTTTTTCTTTTATTTGTTTGGGGTTTAGAAAGGATTGCACCGCTGTTGCCCGAAACTGCATCTGGAACTCTTTCAGATTTCTTTCTTTCTGTGTACAGAGACTCATGAGCCAATTGTCGTGATGGTTTGGCTTCCAAAATATTTTTAATACCAAATCGTTCTATTTTGAAGTACCTCTGCAAATACCGCAATTTGGAAAGATGTCGCAGAGTGGGTTTCTTTTTTATATGGTGTGTTTTTAATTATTATTTTTTCGATTTTTTTCTCTACAAGATTTTGCTCTAAACCATTTTCGTCACTATCATCCACTGCCTGGGTTTAAGCCCGGTTCAATCCAACATCAAAAAATAAAATAAAAGCAAAAAAAGCTGTGTAATAGCGGTCGCCCCTCGGCTGGCAATGGCAAACCTCCGATTGTATTTCTGCCATGAAAAAACAGCTTCTCTTAAAAATACAATGTATTACATATTTACAAGCGACACTGAGTGAAACTACGATTGATAAATATAAGGACACCCTTAATATGCATTTGCATGCATTTACATATACATACATATATGGTACTCGTTAGTAACTAACTTCCTGAGCAAACATTGTTTTGCATTCCAGACCACATCTGTGGGTAATAATTTGTGGGATAGATGACAATCTGTTGGAATTTTGTAAATATTATGTGTGCAATCGTTTAGTGATTACTAATTATTGTACATTCATATATGCATACATATGCACTTACATATACGGTTTCGAACAAAAACTAAATGTAAAGGAGGCGGACAACCCAGTGGGAAAAAGCAATGTATGGTAATTGAAAAAATAATCAGTAAAACAGATCTTTTCACAAAATATATTTTCAATTTTGCATTACCTGGTATCGATGAATGTTTTTGTTAGTATGACATTTTTTGGAATTTTTGGAAACATTAGAATGCTGAATTACATATTAATAAGAAACTGGGAGATTCTTTTCAAATACAAATATACATACATATGTAAATATCCAAAAACGTGTCGGAAAATGGAAACCGAATTAGTTTTTCTTTTTTCATGACGCCTATTACAACAAAAATGTTCTATGGATGCCACTATCCAATTCCTATGTAGAATTGCTCGTTGGTTCCGAAAATCGACTTAATTTTTTTCTATGGATACGGTTTTGAGATATTTACAATCTACCGTCGTTATTCAGCCTAAAAAAGTGGTTCCACATATCGAAAGGCCTGATAGTTTATGAGAAATTAATTAACAAAAAAAAATAATAATAATAAAAATAAAAAAAGAACAAAACAGTCCATAGAAAAAAAATTAGCACGACTTTCGGAATCACCGAGCAACATATCTACATATGAATTGAATAGTGACATCTGGAGAATAAAAACAAAACTAAAATTTGTGATCCAGTTTTATTTTCGCTGAAACACAGTTCAGTAATACCGTAATATATGTCGCTAATTTTCTGGAACAATGCCATAATCCAAAAATTTTTGATTTTGAGTTATGTATGCTGAAATGGCTGTGACTTCATCTTTATGTTGTCTCTATATACAAATTTGTTAATTGAATGGGGATGGGTCTTTTGTATTCCCTTGATAAGCTCCTTGCACATTTGGCCTCCTTAAAATAGGCCAATAATTTTTTGGTAAACGAATTCCTAATATTAAGTGGTTTGACAGTAGAAGGACTAAAGTATTATAGCCTTAGTCTGGCCAATTCCGGACAATTACAAATGCCCCGCTCCGATGTCTTCTTCTCTTCAGGGCAAATATGACAATCTGTCTCGGTGGAGAGGTCAATGCGTGCGCCACTTTTAATGTTGTGTGAGGGTGAAAAAATTATATGTATGCGGATTTTCACGAAATTTTAATTTATTTGTACATACCAGGGACCGTAACAGTTACAACTTTTATTAAAAAAAATCGCTCTTTAACAATTTTTTTGGACTTTTATTTAATTACTCCTTAAATAACCGTTATTTCTGACTTTTATTTTATAAACCCAAAATGACAATTATTTTTGATTCTTATCTAAATAATTGCAAATACCAGTTATTTTTGATTTTAAAATTATATGTTTCAGATAACAGTTATCGAAGACTTTTATTTTTAAAAGTTATAAATAAAAATCAGCCACTGAACTTTATTTATTAAATCATAATTATAAAAGCAATTTGTATAAGTCGTAGTAAACTTTTGTTTTCCAACGCCTTCTTAACTGCAAAAAATGTTAATGACTTTTATACGAATGATTTAAAAAACTTCATCGATTTTTCGCCTCTCTTAAACAATTACCAAAATGGACTTGGCACCTTTTCACGTTTATCTAGCGATATACATTCTTTTTTCAACAATCTCAAATAGATTTTGAAAGCGCCTATTATTTGATAAACTCGAAAAGCAAATTTAGTGCAATGGCCTGAAAGGTAAAACTTTCGCGCGAAGTATTTTTTTTTCCAAATGTATTTGCAATGACAATCTGTTTAGCGATGTCATATGCTCATAAATCAGACAATCGCTAAGCGATGACGGCGCTCCACTAATCAAATGCAATAATTGTGCTAGTTAATAAATTTCATACAATATTTGCTTAGCTAATGAAGACCAAGTAAATGCGAAAAGAAAATATTCTGTCTTGCAAAGACGCAAAATAAGCATAGCTCAGTATTGTGCGAACAGTTGGACAAGTCAAATCACGTGGAAGACGTGGCGTATACGCGACATCCTTATTAGATAATAGATCCTATTTAATTATAATTAATATACAGAAATTGTCCAAAATATCGCTATAATCCTGCCATTAGGATGTATTCGTTCATACAGCCATATATAATACTCACCGTTTTGCTGCTTTTCCATACACAATTCATCAGCGCTCGTCCGCTAACCATGGATGGAGATACAGAAACGCCTGTGGTGCCATTGCGCAGTGGACGCTATGTGCCCGAACTGCATGGCGCTGATCGTGGCAAGTATGTGCCGGACGAAAGTGGCAAATATCATCATGTGTTTTTGCCCTATGACGGTGGCTATGGAGATCGTGGAGAGTTGTATGTACACGATGACCGCGGCCTGCCACCGCCATCACCAACACGTCGCGGTGCCTTCAACTTGGGACCAAAGGATCATCTTCGTTTTGCTATAGATTTCAATTATGATGGCAGTGGTTGGGAAATTCTGCAGTTGGAATGGATAAATGATGATGATGAAAAAATGCGTTACAACTACAAGCATCAGAATCGATTGTGGTCTGAAGAAGGCGGTGAGGAAGAGTGGATGTATATTTAAAAAATATGCGCAGTTGTATTAAATTTGATTTTTTTATAGACGCGTCGACCTCCGCGCGTTCCGATGGTGAGGCAGCTGAAGAGGCTGAGAATAATACTAATGTGCATGTATCTGGCGAATACCAGGGGGACATTTACAATGTGAACTACTCAAATGATAACACACTAAATGCACCGAGTGTAAGAAACTATAGAAGGATTTTGTTTTAATGAAAATCAATTTTTTATTGCTACATTTTAATTTCAGCAAACCAACATACAAGCGACTATTGGTGAAGTACTCGACTATATACAAACGAATGTATTGCCAACGCTCAAATAATGCTGGAACTTCTTTCCATGGCTTTTTAAGTGCTTACGATTTTTTTTTTAATCAAAAATACTAATAAAACCGATTCGTTAACATGTTCTGCATTAAAATTACACATATATATTAGTGTAAAGATTCTAAAGTGTACTCAAATAAACACTCCTGCTTTTGTTATATTTTTAATCTTTTACGGAAAATGTTAGCAAATGAAAAATAAAAGTAGTTAATGGAGAAAAAGAGCACTGTCGGAATTTTCTCTCGAAATCGCTTCGTCAAGTAAGTGCTGCTTGCAGTCGGACCGTGAAAAATCGCAGGTTTATTTATTTCTTTGGTGTGTCAGTTTCATGAGGATACACTGTGGTGAATATAAATTTTATTATTAACTACATTCCCACCTTATTGTCTAATTATATTTCTGCAACTAAAGAGGAAATCAATGAACTACAAATGAATTCGCCTCTCTTTAAATCGATTTACTTTGGAGAACGACTTTGAAGCATTTAAGGTGCTAATTAGAAGAATTCAGCAAGAGTTTCTGTAATGGCTTGCAAAAGGGGTTGGCAAGAAGTTACGCGCTTTGTGATATCAAAATGATTTGTTAGATAGATTTACTAAAGAATGGACATCTTCCAGAGTATAATACGGGGCACGGAGTTTTGCTTATTTCTTCATTCAGGTTCGATAGGAAATACAGCTTTACATACAGCTTTACTGACTTCAATTGGAATTTCGATGTCCATTATCTAGACATAAGTGACTGAGAGCTTAGTATTGCTCTTAGTGATGACGAAAGATCAATTTCCACGGACGGCTCCAGAATGGAAGTCGAAACACGATCTGGAATCTTCTCTAAGGAGTTATCGCTGAGAGAATCTTATAGACTGCCGGATCACTGCGATGTTTTTCAGGCTGAGATATATGCAATCGACATGGCGGCAAGGCTGGTGAGCTCCATCTAAACTTGCCCTTGCCGTTGACAGTCAGGCAGCTATTAAAGCCTTAGGGTCGGATAGGCATGGGGAAGCCCCCTGGGCATCGCAATGGGCCTTTGTGGCCTCCGAGTGAACTCTTCTCAGAGCCGCCCCCCCTTGACCTAACCTAACCTACATATCCGCCGTAAAATTCAAATGAGTTGTCAGCATGGCTATTGGAATGCCAGGTCCATCACATAGTCCCTCATTAGACTCTAAGCGATTAACAATAGCAGTATACCTAGATGTCCATGTGCTGTCCACGATGAACTCTCAGAGGCGGTAATTAAAGCACCAACCTATATACTCTTCAAACAATTTCTGAGCGCTCAGAATTCACGAGTCCAAAATGATCCTTTCTTTCGTTATAAATATGATTCTGAAAACAGACTAATTTCGGCCACTTTTGGTGTTATAAAATCTAAGTTTAACGAAAGTAAAAAAAGTTTACAAAGAAGTAAAAGCTTATAAAGGAACAGAATTATAAACAATATTTGTTTGTAATTCTTCAGACTCTAATATGACTCCTGACTTAGACTCGTGCGTGGCGGGTCATTCTACGACTCTTCTTTGAGCTTATAAAGAGAGATAAAACTCAGAATTCTGATACTTTTCTTTTTTGTATAGGATAGGACGTGATCGCCCAGTACCACAATTCGTTACTCAACCCCTAGACAGCAGCAGAACTATATTTTTCTAAACCGAAAACTAATCAGGCTGCGCAAAGAGAAGATCAATCTAGAAGGTTGTAATTGCACTTTATGCCTTCAAATAAGATGTAGGGAAAATTCAAGCCAGTATTATTAATTGAGGTCTACATTCATTATTTATCCAGTAGCATCATAGTCTGATGAATATCACGGAATATATTTACAATTATAAAGAATGAGATGAACAAGTTTCCGTGCTGTTTTCTCAAGTAGGTTATAAAATTTGTATGCCCTTCAAACGCAATATTTCAGATCAAAATTTTGTGTTCAAAGGGGAGATACATTTTAAAAGCTATTTGAGGAAACGGTCCTTAGAACATGAAATGCTATTCCTCAACGTCGATTAAGGGCCTAAAACAATGATTCGTTTTTACATATACATTTGTATGGAAAACTACTGCTAAATTAAAATTAAAAAAAAAAATTACCCAAGAACTTTTGTTACTTTCTTGAAGCGAATGGGAAGAGCATATAGTTCTATATATCTAAATTTGCGGCGGTCTGCATCGATGGTTCCAAATTAGTGCTCAAAGGAAATATGGTATACTCGAAAGCCTCTCACCTAACATCAGTTTTCGGCGGTCGGACTACTGCACTCAAGCCCAACTGCTAGAAAATTTCTGAATATCTATTCGGCACATGACCTTTAAGACAAGATTCAGTCCACTTTTCCACCTGTACCGAAATCCTGTTAAGTCGGCTTAAAATGATTACCTACAGTCATATATTTAAGTGGAATCAGCTCCAAGAAAGCTGTAATAAAACAAACAAATTTTAACGGTCAACACCGCTACACATTTGAGGCGTAGTCTGATGAAAAACCGTGTCCATATGTTAAGTAACAAGGAAAATCTGTCCAATTAACTATGGTAACTTAAGCATTCCTCAAAAATCAAAGTGGTTTGTATAAAAACCGGATACCTTTTCATAGCAGAAGCATGAATTTCTGTCGCAGTTGTCAGGGTAAGAAAGAATCGGAGACTGTTGAACATAGTGAGAGGTCTCTTTAGTGGTGTTACAATGTTCAACTTGGTCTATACGCGCCTCTTCACACCGTTTCATTGAGCCAATCACCTCCGCGTAACTTTACCTATTCCATATGGTTGGTAATGCTACAAAGCATTAAATGCCTACAGGCCTACAATACCAACAATGAAACGTTTGTTGGTTTCGAGGCGATTGTGGAAACTTTGGACTCATCCACCGACAAGAGAAATGCATGTTTTTATAACTATGTACTATTGAAAATTATTTAAATTAACGAATAAAGATCAAAAATCAATTTGTTTATGGAATTTATTAACTGGTTTATTATAAAATACTTTGCTAAAAATTTTTATGATTCACGCGAGTATAAATATTTAGTACCAAGAATTATAAAAAATACTTTTGAAACGCTGCAGCTTTCCTTTCTTTATTTTCCAACAGTTTGCTTCATCAACATTTCAATTTGCTTGCAAAAATTAGGTTTTTATTATTCAAATTAATTAAAAATTTACTATAACTCTAATGTGTGTGTGAAAATTAAATTGTATACAAGGAATTTAGTATGTAACTATGTAGATATGGTGTGCATGAATATGAATAAATTAAAAACATTCACTACTTCTTAGCATTCGCTTCTAGATATGCCAGCAATTTGGCTACATACGGTGGTGGAGTTGGCAAATGTGCACCTTGTGGCACAAAGCCATTATCATCAGCCACATAATCGACACGATAGAGCACACCATCATCGCCGGTGTACTCGTAAAATCCGGCCGAACGCAAACCATCTGCGTCCGGAGCTAACTTTTCGATGCGTCCATTTTCCTCAGCCAAAATTCCATTCTCGGTTTCATAGCTGGAAAAGAAAAAAAAAATGTCCTCAATTTCGAAGCATATATTCAGGCGTTCGGTTAAATTGTTTGCACTTTAGCACTTCGCTGTTGTTGTGTATGTATGTATGTATATTCTGCGCTGTTAAATGCTAACCACTGTTAACACTTGCATGCTTTTAGCAGCGCTGTTAGCTACATTTCGAAAATTACTAAATACAGACTAGCCAAAAATATTCACTGCACGCACCAGCTTTTTGAAATCACCTTCAGCGAGAGTGCATATAAATCGTATTAGTATTGCACAGTCAACACTTACATATAACGATAGCCATCTTTTTCTTCCTTATCGAATAGTTGCAGGATCCGCCAGCCATTGCCTCCTTCGCCAGTTCCCTTACCCTTTGGCAATTTTGCTGCTAAATCCAATGCCGCTGGTTTAGGCGCTGGTCTGCGTGTTGTGGCTGCGGCACTTAATCCTGCACCGCTTGCCGCACCGGCCCCTAGAGTACCACTACCAGCTGCTAACCGTCCAGCACCACTGCCTCTGCCAGAAGCACCTGCTCTGCCACCGGCACCAGCTCCACCACCGCCACCTCCACCCGGTCCGAAACGATCCTTTTCGCCTTTATATTCTCCACCAGCTCGATCATCGTGCACATATGGCACATCTACATGAACATATTTCCCATCATTGCCACCACGATAACGGCCATCGTTACTTGGTCGATAGCGGACGTCATTACCTCCTCCGGTAGGACGCGCACGGGCGCGCGCAATGGCTGGCACTACTGGCGCGCGGTAACGTCCATCATTTTGCGCTCTAGCTGTGGCTAGTACAGCGACCACAAATACTAGCGCGCCCAGCTGTAATGAGCGGTGCAAGGTAATAATTAATTAATCCTGTGTGTGATGTAATCCTTTTTGCAGCGTTTTGTACTCACCGTTAATTTAGGCCCCATGTCGACGTTTACGTTATACTAAATACTAAATGAAATGAATATTGAAATCGATAGTTGTTGCTTTTATAGACGCGATACTATATTTTTTTTTGTGCTGATAGCAGTCTGCACTTTCAAGACAGCTGTCGTCATACTGGGCATTGATGCTCATATCGCCTACTAACGGATATATGTACTTGTAAATGCAGCTATTGCAATCTCGTTTCAACGGTTGAACGCAATTACTTGCACCAATAAAATGTCTCATTTTACGATGTTGATATTGATGTTGATGATGCAGATCTTGATGTTGACGAGAATGAGAAGATGCGCAAACGCAGAATTGTGAAATCGTTGCACATAGTGGTTGCACAGTGGTAGAGAAGTAAGGAGGAGAATCTCATCACTAGTAACGATTAATTTGTATACATACATATCTTGTGTTTTGTAAGGTTTGTGAAAAATATTTATGGGCATGAATATTTTTAGATACTCATGTACATTAGACTGTGTCAAATAAAATGACTATTTATTTTCTCTCGACCCCATACAAAAATTTCGTTGTCGCTACAAAAAAATAGGCAAAATTTCAGCGCCACCCTGTCATAATTTTTCAGTTAGTGCTCGCTAAAATAAG